ATGTTTATATAATACGATTAGAAATAATACGATTTTTCTATTTTTTTCTATTTTTTAAATGACATTAATTACAGTAAGATAGAATAGTTTTGGTAGATGAATAAACAAACATATCAATAACAAATCTTACATAATAATCCACTTCTTTACGCTCATGTTATCCTGGCATCAAAACGCATAGCATAGACTCAAATTTTATTCCTGCAGGTGGAGTAACCTATCAATTTGAATTGTATGTGTATAGGGGGCATATAGCAAATGATTAATAGCCTACTAGTCATACGTCTAACAGTTCATGTTATCCTGTTAGAAAAAGGTACATAATACCAGAAACCCATAACTGAAAAAATCCTATAATAATAGAATACAAAATGTTAATCTTAGTATAAAAAAAATGAATTGAATCGGTTTTGCATTGCGCAACAAAAGGAATGAATGAATTTGTTGTAGAAAAACAAAGAAGACAATAAATAAACAAATCTCCTAATTATTTTTGATATCTCGAAAAGTATTTACAACAAATTAATTATTGAGCAACTAAATTACAGCAAACCCCTCAAGCTTCAAAACTTATACCATTATAGTTTTACATTTTTGATTATATCATCAAAATTATAGGCGACAAGTTCATTATTCAACAAAATTAATGCTAAATATTCACTTTTTAAAATATATATTCGTAATGTTGAGTCGTCTATAATTTAGTCGTAATTTACTGCCAAACTTCAAGAAACGTGTTTAAGCTTCGAAAGCATACAGAAATGTTCGGGGTAAGAATAATATTTTGTGGAGGTCACACAAATTTGAAGTTGCAAATTATTATGTTTTACGTAAAAATATGACAAATTTGTTATATTCTTAATAATAAATGTACTTCATTTACTTACATTAAGCTTAATTATCATTAAGCCTATCATCATTCCACAAAACTGGAGTTTGCTTTTTTACTGTTTACTACATTAAGTTATTACTTTTCTCTTTTGATATTTCCATGTTTTATAATATTGCTTTATAAATTTAAATGTATATATAGTTCAAAATGTCATTGAATTTGTTGGTCTCTTCATATAATTTGATATTCAGTTAATCACCTAATAACACGGTCGTTAGTTTGAGAAAAAAATCGTTTTATGCGAAATCGTGTTAATTAATACAAGAAACAAAATAAATATAATTGATTAAAAGTATTATATAATGTTTTTTTTTCTTTCTAACCAAATATGCTCATCCTTTCATCTGATTCATGTTGAATTATTTGCAAAAAAAATCTGTTATTTTCGTAGATCGTAGATTTTCGTATAAATATAGCTTATTAGTTTATAGTTTTCGTTATGTTTAAAGATTAGAAAACATTTGTCTCTTAAATTTTGCGTTTTTATCAAGTATACAATTTTATAAGAATATATAATATAATATATTTCTATGTAAACAAAACATATGACAAATATAATGAAAATTTGCTTAAAATTGTGTAAATTTCACAAAATCTGCAATTTTCAATAAGTATTAGTACTTGTAGTATAAATAATAATTTTAGTATTGCAATTATCAAAATTGTAAGAAAATTTGATACATTTCTATTTATTTTAAAGAATGGAGAAGTATATTTCATAGAAATAACACAATTTTCAACGAAAAAACTCAAAATCTTCGTAATTTAAAAAGATAAACTAATTTTGATTATATACTTTATGAACTTGGTTTAGGTTTCATTGAATTTTCACAAAAAGAATTTTTCAAATTGATTTCTTCTTGAATTTTTTTAAAATTTTCTATAATTTTCAACCATGACGACGGACGCGCTCGGCAACTGTTGAGTTCCCTTAGTTACCAGGATAATAGCAATTGATAGAGGTTATTGGGTGAATTTATCTGCCGGGAATTTTGTTCCTACAGCATTGGGAACTATGGTGCACAGTAGGTAGCAGGATAACAGAAATACATAGTGATGTGCCGCTATTGATTTTACTCAATTGAGCATACTGCGTTGTCTATACCAGTGGTCTCCAAACTTTTTTCATCTCTGTAAGACTAAGTATCATTTGTACATTTTATGAGAATTAATTTCATAAAAAAAAATGATAAATGATGTTCAAAATTTAGATCTTATAAAATATTAATTTGATCATTTTTAATAAGATTAAGAAATTTCATTATGAATGGATTATTATAGGAAACAGTATTAATAGATATTATAAAGAAAATTGTAATAATTCATTGAAACTAACATTGCACTATATTATCTATGTTATGTAATGGTATCAACTACCATGACGGTACTATCTTTGATGGAATTATATTTCAATATAATATTTCTAAATATATCCTTACAATAAAATTTAATACTTTAATATCAATATTGTGTTTGAATATTTACAAATATTCCTTTCAATATTTATTTTATAACATCTACTTTTATTTACTTCTACAGATGAATAGTAAGTAAATTTGTTAGCGGTACAAATGTAATGTAGATGACGAACTCAATAGTATCCATCTGTGTAAATTAGTTTATTAATAAATTTAATCATACTTTAATATTAGACAAAATATTTCCATATAATTTGTAGTTTTAATGAAATTTATTTGAATTGATAAAATATTTAAATTCATTCATTATACTTTGATATAGAAACAAAACTTCTAAAATTACATATAAAATAAATTGTAAACTGTTCTGTTCTGTTCTGTTCTCTAAACAAAAAAGATGCCCGACGTATCGAATTTATCACAGGTGTATTCTGGATGGACATTAATTTACACATATATTTCTTAGTACTGCTCTCTCGTCTAATACTCAGGGGAACAACACCAGCTTCAACGTGCAGAGAGTCAATTAGACAGGTACGGAGGACGCCAAGTGCTATTCTCATAGCTTCATTTTGTATCCTTTCCAAAGACTGAATTTTAAATTTATCACAAAACGAATTAATTTCTTAAAAAGCGGGTTTTAAAAAAAGACAATGTAGAGAGTTCTCGTTTAGAAAATTTAATTTTAATTGTTTGGCTAAGTCTATGTCTTTCTTAGTATTCTTGATTCGAGTTATAAGAACATTATGTTGTTATTAAATGCGTGTTAAAACCGTGTTATAGTGGAATATGCCGTGTTATAAATGAGTTACTTATATACAATTACTTATTAGAAGTGACTGATTAATATTAGAAAAGCGATACCAAAATTGTTAATATTTAAGTTTAACATTAATATTACTCTCATTACAATTTATATTGTTAAATATGTAAACACATGGAATATTCAGAATATAATTAAAGTTAATTTTGTATTTAGCCCATTTTTTGTAATCAATTTGTTAAATAAAGTTTGGTTATTTGTAAGATATAATTTTCCACCTCATCTTCTAAATTATTACATCTAAGAAAACACAAACAAAATGGATTTAAAAAATAAATAAATTGAACTATTAGAAGTATAGACCACACAGCTTACACAGTAAAGTCAATACCTCAACATACCTCTATGTACTTCAGTTATCCTGATACCTACTGTGCACCATAGTTCCCAATACCGTTCCGAGAACAAATTTTTGAGTACATACATAATAAATAAATTCACCAAATTCATTCTCTTTCTATATCTGTTATTCTATTAACTAAAAGAACTAACAGTTTTTGAGCGCGTGCGGCTTCATACTTGGAAATTACCGAAACTATTCAAAAATTTAAAGAAGAAATGAATTTGTTTTTTTTACACTTGTCTTTTTCCTTTGTACTTTTTTCTTGATAATATCATTTTCCTTATTCAAATAACTATTGTTAACCATGGCTGTGCCTTAATTCATTTGTTGAATTGAGGAATGTTGAATAATAAATATTAATTCATCTGTAATTTTAAAATGTATTCTAAATTATGACGTATTCTGGACTATATAATTTCCCTATATGTATAAATTATATAATTTGTTAATTGATTTTTATAAAAATGGACTGCAGAAACGTCAGCAAATTGTTAAATTTTCTTTTGATTAACAATAAATAGCAGATTTCATATATTGCAAACACTTCATTATCCCATGATAATCAGTAAAAAATAATGAATCTACGGAAATTAAATAGAAGTGATCAGAAAGAAAGACATCTTCCTTTCGTTTAATAAAGATGTCTAAATGAAATAAATTATATGGAATTTTCATAATTATTTGTAAATTTACTAAATTTTCTTAAACAGATTAATCTAGATATAAAACATTGGAAATATTATATTTCTTCATAAGGAATGGATAATTAGGTAAAATAGTAATTAAAGAGAAATAGGAGAGTAATTTTATTTAAATTTTAATGAATTTTTGACAGCTAAGACATTCATAAATAGCAAGAAGGTCTAAGGATAATTTGGCACTTAAACCCATTGGAATTAGAACTCTTCGAAGTTGCCATCAGTCGAAACTTATAAGGAAGGAATAATAGCTAATTACTAAGTGCATCTACTACTGTAATTAAATAGTTGCTTTCCCCCGATATTATACCAGTATATATTAGTAATTAAATGCACTAATATATTTGCTATTCTCCGGAATTTTCCTAATACTAACATCACATATATAAGTTAACAAAAATTTGGTAACAAAATATAAATATATAATAAATATTTTTTCCTAGTGTTTAACAAGGTGTCTGCTAATTTCACTTTTTAAAATTGGTACAGATATATAGAGTAGAATCTTTTTAACAAAATATAACATTCTAAATTCTTCTTTTTTTTTAAATATATCTTTAAATCATCTGATTGATGCTACATATACATATATCACTAATACCTATTAAATTCATGGTTTGGTTAGACAGACATTATAATAAGATAACTTGTTGTTATATCATTAAAATATTTAGCTTAGTCAGTAATTCTCTTAATTTCCTCACCCATTGTGAGCCATTTATCAATCTGTAAAATAAATAATTATTACTAGTATTCTCTCTCTTTTTGATGTCAATTATATTACCTGAGCCAACAACAGTGATTTTCTGTATCCAGTTGGTTCTGTCATGCAGATCGGTACTAATAAAGCTAGAGCTTCATTGATCTTCACGAATGCTTGGATGGCGTTTCCTTCAGCAAAATACTCTTCCGCAATAACACCAATGTTGATTCCTGACAACATCTTCGGCGTGGATTTGGCCATGGTCTTCAACAAATCAAAGCTGTTATCACAAAGCTTGCTGTGTATAATCTTATCGGAGATGTATCTGCAGAGCTCGTTTATTCTGTATATGTATTGATTAAATTTCAGTTCCATCTTATACTTCTGTGCCGGATTTGGCTCTGTCATTATATAAGGATGCAATAGAGAAACGGCCTCTTGATACTTGAAGAGAGACTCTTCATACTTCCTATCGGATTCCAGCTCAAGGGCATCAGTAACCAAGATAACAATATAATTGTAATTTTCGTTAGTCGGCATTTTGTTGATGTCAATAAAAGGATGTTTGTAGAAGTCCTCGAATTTGATACGATCGTCTTTGTTGTAAGTAAGAAGACTTCGTAATAGATTTTCGCAATTTGCGGACATGTGCGAATGCCTTGGGATCTGTAGAAGATAAAAGTTAGTTATCTTGAAAAGTTTTGATTGTGATAGGAAGCTTTACATACAGTCATCAAATTTTCTTTAGTTATCATAGCTTTAACTGCTTGTAGAGATGCATGGAAATAGGATGGTCTTCCAAAAAGGCATTGGAACATGACGACGCCGAGAGACCAGTAGTCGGACGTGATGTCGTAAGGTTTTCCCATGATCTTTTCAGGAGCCATGTATGCAACGGTTCCATTCTGCCTCCACTTCTCCATTTCATTCGGGTTGATGACTTCAGCAACCCTGTTGAATGATGAATATAGTTAAGTTAAATTGTAGAAGTTTTAGCATTTTGTACCCAAAATCAGATAGCTTGAATGTCAATCTTGGGTTGGAGCAGATCAAGATGTTCTTTGGTTTGATGTCCATGTGGCACATGTTGATGTTATTGAGGTATTGCATGGCCAGTGCCAGCTGCTGCATAACTATCTTCACCAATGATTCAGCAAGCTTATGCCTCTTGTAAATATAGTTCTCTAGATCACCATCATTGCAGTGGTCCATTACTAGATAGACTATATTGGCTGAAGCGAAGTGCTCGATGTACTGAACAATGTTAGGATGGTGCAAGTTACGGAGGACCTCAACCTCCTTGATGCTCCTCTCCTTCATCTTCATCACCTTTATGGCACATACTCCAACCCTCTCCTACAATAACAACATTACAATAAAGCAGGAATACAATATATAGAATATTTGATTTACATTTGCAGCCCTGTAGACTGTGGAGAATGACCCTTGGCCAATCTTCTCACACAATTTGATGGCATGTCGTCCAAGAAACTCTTTCTCAGTTAAATGAGTCATTACATGGTATCTTTTTCTAACAGCACTCATATATAAAGATACACGAATAACCTTTTTCATTTACCAAGGATTTTGTGTAACCAAAACCAAATCAGCTATGTGTTCTTATTACAATGTTTACTAACAGCTTCAAACTACAACGGATTTCAATATGTATTAAACTCTGGAACATAAGCAATGCAACTTACCCCTGTAATGATAAACTGTTTTGGTTGTTTTGTGCAACAACTTGGAAACTTCATTGGCAGGTGGCGCTACAGTCTTGAAGCATCAAATCAATACAATATAATTACGTATTTAAAACAAATACACCCACCAGTTTGTCCCAGATATTATGCATATCGATTTCATTGCAACTGCATTTGCTAAACCTAAGCTAAGCTGAACAGGTGTCATTTATTTTGACAGTTGTCAAACAAGTCATAATAGTTATCAATACTTATTTGATACTTAAATATTTTGAGTGGTTCTCTCTGTTATGCATTTTATTTAAACCATTATTTATGTATTAATAATTAGAAACACCTTAAAACGTAACCATACAAAGAAAGTACCATGGCTATGTTTCAAGGTTTTAGAGTATTTGAAAAAATACAAGCTGCAAGTCCACACAGTATTCTATTGGAGCACAAGAACAAGAATGACACCTTACTGTTCGAGAGCCAGGCAATTGCAGTGCTTTGTAAGTCATAAGAAAATCATAAAAAAATCAAATTTAACCATTAAACCACCTGTTGTTGTAGCACCTCAAGAAACCGATGCTGTCAAGAGGATGTACACTAAGTTAACAGATGCATATGCCTGCTTGGGTGTCCTACAGCTAAACACAGGTGAAACCAGTGTCATGTACCTGGTCATGGTGACAGGTTGCTTCTCTGTGGGTAAAATAGCAGACTCAGAGATCTTTCGGATCACCCAAACCATGTTCATTCCATTACACTATCAACATTGCGAAGACAGAATTGTTGAGGTAACAAAGTGAAAGGTAACTTGTATTTAAAGTCATTCAATTCACCTGAAACTTTAATCACTTTTAAAGGTTCGCAAACTCCTTAATTCTGGTACATTTTATTTTTCTTGGTTGTCTACCACATCAACCAATTCTTATAAGATCCCATTAGATTTAACCTTGTGCGCGCAGCGCAAGCAAAGAACGTCGCTGACGGATAACCGCTTCTTTTGGTAAGATTAATATGGACCATGCTTAGGCTCAAATTTACGTACTAATTTAAGGAACCGTATGCTACATGTACATTTGCTGAGATACGGGGTGGATTGTAATTCATGGCTAATCAAAGCTATGTGTGGCTCAGTTGAAGTAAGAACTGCCTTTGCTGCTCATAGGAAAGCCACGGCAGCTGTTATATCGCGTTTGAGCTGCGAAAGGGCTGGGACTAGGTTTCTATACAGCAGCTTTGTTTAAGAAACTTTCATCACATATCGCAATTGTAGGTTTAATGTTAGGGGTACCAACGATGAAGGACACGTCGCTAATTTTGTAGAAACCGAACAAGTGATATACCTAGATAATGAAGTGTCTTCCTATATACAAACTCGTGGTTCTGTTCCTCTATTTTGGGAACAGCCCGGAGTACAAGTAAGTTGTACAAATTGTTGTCGCGTTGCGGAAATTAAATTCGAACTGGATTTAAGGTCGGGTCTCATAGGGTGAAATTATCGAGAGGATTTGAGTCCTCTAAATCAGCATTCGATAGGCATTTAAGGATAATCAAAGAACGTTACGGTAGGCAGGCTATAGTGAATTTATTAGGCACCAATTTGATCGGCAACAAGGATGGGGAGAGTACGCTCAGCAATGAGTTCCAAAAACATCACCAGGAATCTATCTACAGAGATGATGTTCCTCATATAGTCTTTGATTATCATTTGGAATGTCGCGGCGGTAGCACGAATAACTTAAATAAACTTAAGATGAAAATTGAACCGTCGCTTCAGGAGTTTGCCTTCTATCATGCAGACAGATCGAACGTCTACAATTTACAAACCGGAACCATCAGGACCAATTGTTTAGATTGCTTAGATAGAACTAATTGCGTACAAACATTCTTAGGTCTGGAAATACTTTCAAAACAATTACAGGTATTTTATTTTTATTTAGCTTGTATTTCTCATTTGCAGTTTAGCGTATTTGTATTAGAAAATAAGTTGATTACTTATACCATTTCGCCATATATAGTTAAAAAATAGTATCAAATTTTGTACTTAAAAAAGGATAAATCAATATATTTAATTTGTTTTAAAATTTTATACCAGTGAAATCTGCAATCGTCTATAATAAATAAAAGTTTTATTTACATTACGTAAATAAGTATCTAAATAAGATCAGGTCTTTTGGGAGGGATAAAGGTAATGAAATGATGGTATATTTATAGGTGATGAATCTGATAGAAAAGAAGCAGACAATTACGAGATTTGAGGAAGTATTTAAGCAGATGTGGATGAACAACGGTAATGCCATTAGCAAAATATACGCGGGGACTGGAGCAATTCAAGGCGGATCGAAAGTAAACTTCTCTCAATTAGAAGATCAGTGATAAAATAGAGATTGTTTCAGTTAATGGATGGTGCGCGTTCGGCAGCCAGAACAATCCAAAACAATTTATTAGATAATTCGAAGCAGGAGGCCATCGATATATTGTTGGTCGGTTCGACATTGAGCACGGAACTGGCCGACAGGGCGAGAACTTTGCTCCCTTGTAATACACTCCACGGTAATTGAAGAGAGCGATGTGGTAATGCGATTGTCCCTGACTTTGAAATTCGATTGTAGCACCACCCCATATCCTGAGAGAGATGTGCCGAAGACAAAACGAGTATACAACCTCGATGCCTTTAAGAGTTGTGGTCGGCACATACAATGTGAACGGCGGTAAGCACTTCAGAAGTGTCGCTTTCAAGAACACCTCCCTCTCGGATTGGCTTTTGGACTGCCAGTCTTCGAGCGACTATAACTTGATAGACGTATCAAACGCGTCGAACTCCTCTGATTCCATACCGCCGGATCTCTTCGCCATCGGCTTCGAGGAAATTGTAGATCTGAACGCCGCCAACATCGTTGCATCCCGGTGCGATAACGCGAAGGCCTGGGCCGACGAGCTGCAGAGGGTCATCTCCAGAGATAGATCATACGTGCTCATCACCTACCAGCAACTGGTTGGCATTTGCTTGTACCTATTCGTGAGACCTGAACACGTTCCCTACATCAAGGATGTCGCAGTGGATTCGGTGAAAACAGGACTCGGGGGACACACTGGTATATATAAAATTTATTTTAGAATCGCACGGTTGCAAATTCATTAACCCAATTGTGACTCGTAAATGCTACGAGCACAAAAGCGACGCAATCCTCGGTTTATGTACGTTTAATTTAATGGTGCGCACTTATATTCTGTGTACGATGAAAAGAAATTGAAATAATATAGCTTATTCTAAAATCGCAAGCGATTTTATTGCCACTATTAAAATTTTACTGCTTGAGGTAATTTTCTATTTAAACACCTGTCGATAACTACTAGCTGCTTCCGGTCTTCTATGAACGAGTTTCTGATACTATTATTACTAAATTTTTACTGCGTTTGGTTATTTTTACTGCAACTAACATCTACTAACAACAGGAAGCGTTTTTAAGGAGGGCGTCTGCGATTGGTCAAAGTCTGTAATTATACGCGGCTTCAGTGAATTTGGGTATACGCTTATTAATCGTTGTTTCTTATTGATTCCGGTGATTGATTGGATTAATGAATGTTGTAGGTAATAAGGGTGCAGCTACAATCAGGATGGTTTTCCATGCAACGTCCTTGTGCTTCGTATGTGCCCATTTCGCAGCTGGTCAATCGCAGGTCTTGGAAAGGAACGCCGACTACGCGGAAATCACCAGGAAAGTGAATTTCCCGATGGGGCGCACGTTGAATTCGCACGAGTATTTGTTTTGGTGCGGCGATTTCAATTACAGGGTGGATATGGATAAGGAGGAGATTAAGGAGCTCGTTAGGCTAGGCGATTTGCACGCGGTGCTGCAGCATGATCAGCTCAAGGTTTATACCTCATTTCCGTTTGAGATGCGCCGTACGCGACACTCCACTATTAACACTATTAATGCGTTTTGCAGAAGCAGCAGGGCCAGGGTAACGTGTTCAAGAACTTCCTGGAGGGTGAAATTACGTTTCCGCCGACATACAAATATGATCTCTTTAGCGATGATTACGATACGAGCGAGAAATGCAGGGCGCCTGCCTGGACCGATCGCGTCTTGTGGAAGAGGAAACCTCTGTTACCCGACAACGCAGAGGATGGTTATAATTCCGGAAAACTTGTTTACTATGGCCAAGCAAACTTGAAGCAAAGCGACCACAGGCCAGTCGTTGGGATTGTAGATATTGAAGTCAGGAAGATCGATCCGACCGCGAGAGAACGAGTCTTCTATCAGGTAATTGCAGATTTCGGACCACCCGATGGTACCATCATCGTGCATTGCGAGGACTCCCCACAGACGGATGAGGATACAGTTTTCGATGACAACCTCATGCTTTCTTTACTGGAAGAACTTTCGCATATCGGAGATGTGATTTTGGTCCGCTTTGTGGCCGATACAATGTGGGTCACCTTTAGGGATGGTCAGTGCGCTTTGCAGGCTGCCGCCCGGCAGCACCTCAAAGTCCTCGACTACAATCTAATCTTATCCTTAAAAACGCCCAATTGGGTCGAACAGACCAAAGAGGAGATCCAACTCTGCACTAGCAATACTATTCCATTGTGTGTAGGTGTCTCGCAACCCGACTATAACTGTAAGTGTATTGATTTTTATTCAAAAGAACCAACTATTCTTATACATTACTACAGCTAATACCTACTCGAAGGATGATTATCTTTTTACATGATAAGTCAGCAAACGTAGAGTATAAAATAACTAGATTTAAATTAACTGTGATTAATAATGATCTTGATCTAACATATTTTAGTTAATCAACTTAAAGAAATGGTAAAGAAATTAGTAAATGCAAAGATAAATCTTTATCATACCTTATCAAATTAACTTTAATAAGCTGATCTGTTATATTTCAATTAATTAACTATGGCTCAAAAGGATGGTAAACTAATTAAATTTGGTCATTAAGTCAGTAAATGCAGATTTAGATTCAGGAGTAAAGGAGCGGGCAATGTTGGCTGCCTATGCGAACATCTTCATTGTTTTAAAATTCAACCTTTGAACTCCATTAATAACATAGATTAAAATATAAATAATTTATTGCGCAAGGTTTAGGTATTCCAGATGTGAATAAATCGGGGCCTCCGAGCAGACCTCCACCACCTCTGAAGTCTCCAGGAGCTACAAGAAAACTGCCTAAGGTGCGTACGATAATGATGGAAACAGCGAAGAAAACATCGTTTTGTTGTTGATGTTTGCAGGCGGCAGCGTTGAACATAAACAAGTTGCGTCCAGAAGTCAACATGGAGGAAACAGGGATATACGAGGAAATAAATGATGACATTATTAGCAGACCGGAGCCTCAAGGGCCACCACCGCCGCCGCCTCCGCCACCTCCACGTCCTGAATCAACAAACCTTCCGCCACTTCCTCAAAGGGCTACGCCGCCTCCCGTCCCCGCGAGATCTGCGCCGCCACCGCCTCTGCCAGCCCGCCCCCGTTGATCCATCCTTTTTTTTAGCTAGTCATTCATGAAAATGAAAAAGTTCCTCTTTTGCAGACTTTCTGGGTCAGTAATTCCTGCCTTAATTTATTCCTTTTTTAAACAATAATTTCCCTTTTTAATAACCTCTCAACTTCATTGTGAACGCGGTTGGGGCTGCACGTCTTTATATAAATTTTTAATTATGTTATATGTCCATGTATGTTATTATAAATATTATACAGGTTCGAATATATTCTTGTATGCACACAATAAAGAAGAAAGAACAAATAAAAAAACACAAAGACAAATCAAATGAAAACCCTTGCCCTTTTACTGTATTTATGTATGTTTCACCTACCGGTTGATACCTAAGGCGGAAATATGAAACCCTTGGCAGCGAGATTAAGATCATTAGAATGAAATTTATTGGCCTGACATCAGACCCATTATAAATCTTACTAAGTTTACGTAAAGCCGTTTTCTTTCCAATCGAATTTCCTGTTAAGTGTGTTATTAATAAAATTACTTTACAAGACTCGTATTTTTAGATCAAATGCGAATCGACCCGTCCAATTCCACAGTCGGGAAATATAAATTAGGAAATAAATACCATTTTTTTTTGTTTTGTTCGCTTGATGAGGCACGCGTGCCGGATATCCAAGGCACGGCTTTACATCCATCATTTACTGATATTGGGTACAGCGTGATGATCAAGTGGTCTTTGTACAATATAGGATTACAGCTACAATTATCAGTAAATGGATTTATTCAGCGTTACATAAACGCTTTAATTATTTTTTTGTTCCATTGCTTCCCTTATTTTTTTTGTTCGGACATTTTCATTAACGAATTTTTGGCATGAACAACATGAAATTTTTATTACTCCGTGTGCGGCAAAAGACCAATA